CCTTAATCTTTCTCCGTTTAATTTTCGTAAAATATACATTTAACAAAAAAAAAAAAAGTAAAAATAAAAATTATCCTTAGCTTCCCTATCACATAATGTTCATTATTCAGAATTATTCATCGTCAAATTACCAACAATCATTATCATTATTATCAATTCTGATTCATTCATTTTTCATTTTTTACATCATATATGACTCATTTTATTGATTGCCACATTTCTTTATTCCGGATCATACGTATTTCTGCTTTCCGGATCATTTATAAATGAATGTATTAATAGAAAACATAATCATAATTTTTCTCTTACTTCATCTTGTATCGATAGATTTCTGAAGAGATGTATTATTGTTTATCATTTGTTTAATTGAAAAACTTTTGTTTATTAATCTTTTTTTATGCATAATTTCCCACTTTTTTTTATATTTCAAATTAATTTAGAATCGTTTTGCTTGAATTTATCTCATTTTTATAACTTAATTTTACATTACATTCTGACATTATTAACTTTTTCGTCTTAAAATTAAATTGCAATTAGGAAGCAAAAGAAATGAAACATATTGTTCTGCTAACTTCTTTTTTTTTTCTTTCCTTTTTTAAATAAAAAAGTATTTTAATTTGTCGATCAAATTTTACTTAATTTTTTTGCCATTTATTTCATTTATCGTTTCTTTCCTTAAAATCTTCGGCATAAATTAAAATTTTTAATTTCAATGTTTTAGCAATCATAATTTCGAATTATTATTGAAAACAAGCGCTTCTTTCGGCAATGTTATTTTGACAAATTTTATTATTATTCAATCGATTATGGCCAAATGTTTGTTTTTTTAGCAAAAAAAAATGAATTTAATTTTACAAATTTATAATTTTTCTTTTCATAAAAAATGACTAAAAGGAATATTAGCAAGAATGAATGAAATTAAAAAGGAATATATTATTATTATTAATATAATAAAATTAATGAGATTTGTGAAAATACTGATAATAATTATAATAATGGTATCATTAATAGAAAATAATAAACAACAATAATATAATAATATCATTAATAAAATAATAATAAACAATAATAGTGAATAACAAAACAGCAATTTTACAGATGGCTTTAAATGGTGGCATTTTTTCAATCGACAAAAATTAATCAAACCGAAGGATAGAAACCATCGTGAACAAGAATGTCGTGATAATTTGGTTGAATCCTTTGTAGAGCATCATTTAACGGTTGAACAAATTAAAGATATTTATATCGATTCAAATATTCATTCCGAATATCCGGAACAAAGTGATGGATTAAGTTCGATTGAAGCACGGTTAGAATAAAAATCACATTTCTAATAAGTTTGATTTCATATTTTTTTAAGTTTCAAATAATATTTTCTCACAAAATTAAAAAAAGAATAAGGAAGAAGTACAGTGAAAAAATAATTATTGATTGATTATGTTGATTATCTGATTATCCGTTATCATCACTCAGTGAAAATTTACTTTTTAATAATTATATTTTAATGAATTAAATGTTATTTTCTTAAATTTATTTTTAGGAATGAGAAAAAATATTGAATTTATTTTATTCCTTTTTTTTTCATATTTTAAAAGTTTTGAGAGAGCTTTACTATATTTAAAATTTGATGGATGTGATAATGTTGACAAAGGAAATTTTTTCAGGTTTGAATTGATGTCGCATTTTTTCCTTTCCAATTGAAATTATTTTTGAATAAAATTTGAAATGTTTATGATAATGCAATCAGTGATTGAATGGTATTATGGTGCCATTTTCGGTGACACATCAATAGGGATAAGAGATGACAAAAATGAGAATGAATCATTTCATACCATATTGAAATGGTATTAGTAAAGGATTATTTGATAACTCTGATTCATCAATTAATCCTACTATTCAAATTATGCGATTTTCAGCAAACGTTTACGAGATGGTGGCGCTAATTTCATCGAATGTCCACGTAAAATCAGTAACGTAAAATTATTTTTACGTCAGTTTTTATATCGATTATGGCTATTACTTCTTTGTAAGTGTAATTGTTGCATAGAATATTATTTATTGCTTAAATTTACGTTTCAAAATGTTGCAAAATTTTACAATTTGCATTGAAATTGAAAATATTTCAATAATTTTAAATTTATTGTTAAAAAGTATTTAGGGAAAAATTTTGAAAGAACGTAATTTTCTCATTTTTAATTTGAAAATATCACTCAATGAACGATGTTGTTTTTCTTTTTTCCCTTTTATTTTTCTTTTACTTTTTTTTTTTTTTTCTATTGTCTTCTGTCATTTCCATTTCTTTTTTACAAGTAATTAATTAATTTGTGGCAAGAATGGCAAGAAAAAACCATGTTCCTTTAATTGTCATTAAATTATTGGCATGCTTTGTAATTTTCTCAATTCCCGAATACTTTTTAAATAATTAAATTTCGTATTGAAAATTAAAAAGAAAGAAAAGAAAAAACAAGAAATATTGCTGTTGAGATTTTATGTCAGATGACATTTATGAAATGAACGAGTAAATTACTCATACATTTAATTAATAAAAACAAACAAATAAATAGCAAAGGTGACAATGTAACTAAACATTTAAATAGGTAAAGTAATTTGATGAAAATAAAATAAACAAGTGATTTTTTTCTTTTTCCTTTTCAATCTTTCTTAAATTGTACAATTGTTTACCACATGTATCATCAATCTAAAAGAAAATTAAGACTATCTAATGAATAGGTGCAATCAATAGGATGAAACATATGACATAATCTAAATTAAAATAATTCATACCATCTCTTGCTATTTTTGTTTACTTACATTCATTTATTTTCATATTTTATTTTCATTAGCATTATTCTACTTTCATAATTTGCTTTTCTATTTACTTCTATCTATTTTTTTTATGCTGTACTTTTATTTACACCATAATGATGGTGATAACATTCATTGATAACAAGCATATTATCTATAAAGTGAAATATTTGTCACTCTACTCCTATTTACCTGTTCATTGGTTTTTTACTTATTGATTTCTACTTACTTTTGATTTATCTTGTTAACTTTATGCTTCCATTCATATTGTTTAGTACTATTATTTACATATTTTTCAAGTATCAGTTTAATTATCTAATTAATTTCATTCCTTTTTTTTAAATTTTATGCCAACACATTATGATGTGCAAAATGATACATGAAGTGAAATTTGCATATTGATATATTTTCGTCCATCTCCAAAAAAAGATTCAATCTGTTTTTTATCCATCCCAAAAATAAAAAATAAAATAATAATAAAACTCAATTTATACATATACATATATATTTTTTTTGATATTAACTATTATTGTCATCAGTTATCATTATTATTATCAATATAGTAATAGAGATTAGGTAATAATAATGACACTCACTAATCTCATTTACCAAGTAATTTCATTTTATTCTTGCATTAAACTTATATGAATTAAATAAATTAATTGAACCACAATAGCTTATACTTATGTTATCATTTTAATATTGGTATGATAACATAATTCTATTAATGGTAATATTTATTGCTATCAATAATTTTTTCTTCAATATTAAATGCTAGTAAAGTAATTTACCAATTAATGATTTTAAAATAACATTAATTAATTTGTAATAGTCAAATATCAACAATTATTTCAGGTGCTGCAATGCTTAGCTTAGCAACATATATAATCCATTTGATGCATGGTAATAATGAACCTATTAATCTCTATTGTACATTAATTCTTGTTTTAATCGTTATTCTCATGTGTTTTGTTACATTTTATCAAGAAAAACAAACACTTCAAGTGAGTTATTTAATTAATTCGTTAATTTCCTTTTATCAGTTCATAATTTCTTTTATCATTTGTTAATCAATTCATTCATTATTTTAATGATAACATAAATTGATAATAATTATCAATGTATGATGCAGCTATGATTATGACTGGTCAATTATTGTTATCATTTTAATTATACATATACTGTAATACTTTATTACACTGAAATGGCATATTTTATATCTTATTGAAGTATATTGTTATAATTCCTACAACATTTTAGGTGACAAATGATTTGAAAGCAGTTCTTCCAACATCTTGCATTGTTATCCGAGATTGTAAGAAGCAACAGGTACCAGAAGAGGAATTGGTTACCGGTGATTTAGTTGTAATAACTGCTGGCGCTATTATACCCGCTGACATGCGCATTTTGCAATCAAATGGTTTGAAGATTGAAACTTCAGCTATAACAGGTTTATCTGATTTTTTCTTCCGGTATCATTAATAATAACCTGGCATACGATAAAATTTAGTATTTTAGATCGAAATTACACTATTAATTGACAGATTGTTAATCGATATTTTAGTCTGTATATTCAACCTATATCAATGCAATTTTAGTCTAGATCATGCAAACTAGTAATCTAAATTAAGCCAGCATATTAGTCAATATTAATTTTTGAATTCAGCCTAAAAAGAGTTTTTAATCTGGATCATTGCAAAGTTTGAAGTAATCGTTTTTTTTTTTTTTAATCTCCGACATTTCGCGGTACTGTTTAATCAATTAGCTTTTTTGATGTACATAACACATTAATACGGTAGCATAATTCATTTCTGAATAACATTTATTTTCATGGTTTTCAGGTGATAAGGAAGCTTACGATTATACACATGAAGCTGTGGCAACATATCCATCAGTATTTGATGCAAGAAATGTAGCATTTAAAGGATCATTTTGTCTTGAAGGTGATGGAATAGGAATTGTTGTACGAACTGGAAAATATACGGTAATTTAGGTTGTTTTTTCTTTTTTAAAATATTTATCTTATGTCTAATTTTTTTTTTTGTTATCATTTATTTTAAATTCGATAAATTTGCTGTTATATTTTAGGTTCTTGGCTATATTATAAACATTCGTCAACAAGTTAACAAAACACGAAGCAAGTTAAAAATGGAAATTGATGAATTTGTCAATTTTATATCAGTCTTAGCTTTGATTATGGCATCAGTATTTTTTATGTTTGGTAGTATCATAAATAAGTTCGTCACTTTTCCTTCCTTTTTTTTAAAAAGAAAAAGAAATTTAATAAAGTCTTTAGATTTTACACATGAAAACAGCGACAGTGTAAATTTTATCATCACTTTATGGGATTATTTACAACATAAAATTATAAATTTTATCATTATAATATTATTTGAGTAAAAAAATTGCAAAAACAATGTATCAGCAATCACATGTAATATTAATTTTTGTTCTTAGATGTTAAATTTATTTAATTAAATAGCAAGAACATAATTGTTGTCTTTTTATTACTAAATATTTTGTTTTAGTTTTCAAAACGTTTTGGATCATTTTATCATTGGTTTCTTGATTATCATCGTGGCAAACGTACCACAAGGTTTACCGGCAATGGTTATTTCACAATTAGCTATTATCGGTAGACGGTTAGCTAGTAAGAATGTTTATATTAAAAAATTGGATATTATTGATGAGCTTGGTGCTACAACTGTGGTTGCAACTGATAAAACTGGAACCCTAACACAAAATGTGATGGTACTCACTGATTTATGGTACAATCGAAAGTATCAACAACCAAGTTTGTTCTTTTTCAAAAAAAAAAAAAAGAAATTATTGTTTAAATTTGATTTACTGAGAAATAAATGGGAGAACGAAAATTTTGCATCCAAAAATATGCCTAACAAATTTCCAAATTTACTCTTAAAAAAGAAGTTTGTAACCTATTATGTGGTAAAAGATGTTTTAAATTTAAATTTTCAAGCGAAAAATTATTTTGTCCTTCTTTTTAATTTTTTTACGTCCTATTCTTTCTTTTTAATTTTTTTTTGTATTAATTTTTTTTGAAGCATTACGTTAAAACTTTCCGAAATTTTTTTTTAAATTAATAAAATTTCTATTCATTTTAAATTAGTTGCATTCATATATGATTAATGGATTCTTTTTCAGTCTTTTATTTTTATTTTTCTATAATTTGCATGTAGAATTGAAAAAAATTGCTATTAGTTATCTGAAAAAAAAATCTGATATTATTTCAGTTCATTTTATTTTATTTCAGGTCGTAACTACATGGACAATCAATCTGTTCTTGATTCGAGTAATTGTTCAAAACCGGTATGTGAGCAACCGCTATCCGATATGTTTGTCGTAATGAGTGTTTGTAATAGGGCGCATTTCGAATGTATCCATAAGTCAAAACATTTGGCCTCGGAGAAAGAAGCCCCGACGAAGGTTTCAGCAGAGATGCTAAATATGGGCCAAGTCAACAAGCGATTTACTGTCCTGTTAGTTGATATCCAAAATAACAAAAAAGAAATTGCGAGTCTCAGGATTTTATTAAGGATGAGGAAAATAAAAATGTTTGATCTCAATTATGATTTTTAAAATTCCTCTTCCATACATATATATATATATATACAATCATATTGTATTTTTTTCGCTTGCTTTAATTAAGCAATATGAATTAGTTACATTCTCCACTTTTGTTATTTTCCAGTTTTTATCGATTGTTATTTAGAGGAGAAATCTATAATTCGAGAGATTTAAGTTGGAAGAAGACAATATTTGTATCATGAGCTCCTAAAATCTTCATAATTTATATAGAGTTATATTAATTGAGAAATAAATTATTGTTTTTTATCATTATTTCTATTATTATCACTGTTGTCAATTAATATTATTATTGTTATTATCGTCATTTATATTAATCATTATTTGAGACAATCACAAATCATTATTTGGAAATATTCCTAAGCTTTTTCCGAAGTTTGCAAAATTTATATTTTAGAAATTCTGTTACTGGAAAGCCAAGAATGGTATTTGCGATGCAGAACAATGCAATAGAAACAAAAGATGTTTGCAAGACTGACGATATCCAGGAAACTAGTAAAGTTCAGGTATCAGGGATTAAAGTTCAAGTCTAATCATTTAGTACAATGGTGATAATAATAGTGGTATTAGTAGTAAATTCAGCAAGTTTTGTACAATTTTAGGGGATGCAAAACAACTGCAATAAAATTTAAAATATTATAGAAAATTGCTATTCTGTTTTTGTTAAGGAAAATAAAAATAGAATGGAAAAATACTGCAATAACATTTAGAAAGACTGAAATGGTAAAACAACAAATATAGTAATTTTCACAAAATAATCTTAAATTATTATTTTTACAAGAAAATTGTAAAGAAAAAAGGGAAAGAAAAAATAATGTTGGTATAAAACGGTAGAGAATGATGAGATTTGTGAAACACAATAATATAAGAGATTGAAAAATTCATCAATTCAATACAATGCGACATTTATTGGTTGATGAGCGAATAGTTCAATTTTTTTCTGATATAATTTACTTATTTTGGCTTAACTTGAAACAGCAAAATGTCAAATTTACTAATTAAATTTTCAAGTTACAATAGAGAGGGAAAAAAAAACTTAGTGAAAGTTGATTGATTTATAGTCCACAAAGATATATAATTACTGGTAATGTTGAAATTTCCAATGCAAATTTGTAAATTTTAAAATTTCCAATACAAAATGTTTAACAATTTTGACAATTCCACCTATAATTTACCAAAAATTATTTATTTTATAATATTTCGTTCGGAAAAAGAAATTTTAACGAACGGTTTATTTTACGGTTTATTTATCATTATTTTCTTTTATTCGTCATTTTTATCAGTCGTATTTAATTATCAGTCAACAAATTATCAGTCGTATTTTAACATTTGTTTTTCGATATAAATTTTTCTCGACAAAATGCTATAATGTAAATAAATTTTGATGGATTTTAATTGATTTCATCCAAAGGTAACAAATTCAAATTTAGTTAAAATTAATTGAGATTTGTAACAAATACACATTTTCTGAGTGTAAAGTTTACATTTTTGCGTTTTCCTTTTTTCTTGATTTTTTTTTAAAGATGATAATTTTGTAAATATTATCAAATTGTTTTAGTGTCAAGATGGAGATATATTTGAACATAATCATATATATGGTTCGCCGTCAGATGTTGCATTACTTCGTTATGTGGAAATGTTTTCATCAGTGGAGAAAATTCGAATGAATTATATTGTAAGTAAACAATTGATTTTGTTTGTTCAGCATAATTTAAAAGATACAAGCTTATAATAAAAAATTAAAACATTCCATTTTTTCAAAAAAAAATTTTGAAAAAAAAGTTTAAAAAAATACTAAAAATCAAAATGGACATGTGAAATGCATAAAAAAAATTTTTTTCATTTGATCAAACAATTTTTTAAATTCTTCATTTGATCTTTAACCTAATACGGTATATGATAATAAATATTTCATAAATTTATATAATTTACGAAATTTTGAAGTATTAAAAAAAGGAACTTTTGTGTAAAGATTTGATTACAATAAAATAAAAAATAGCTGGTTCATTTTTCTTTTTTTCTTTCAGACAACTCTTGATATGCCATTTAATGCAGTACGTCGATATCATTTGGTGATAGCACGTGATATTGCGGAATTATCAGAAATGGGAAAAAGTGAGCAAACAGTAAATCAATCAAATGATAGCGGTGGTGTTTTTTTAATGATGATTAAAGGTGCACCAGAAGTTGTCCTAAAATATTGCAATTACTTGCAAGTTGATAACAAATGTTTACCAATTAATCGGGAACTTCGTCAAGAGTGCCAGGTGAACACTCAAACGTAAGTATGTAGCAACGAACGTTAAGCAAAAAAAAAAAAGAAATTAATGTTTATGAAAAAGAAAAAAAAAAATCATAATTCCGTAACTTTCACTCCCTGGTAAAAAAAGGTTAACAAATTTTTCTTTTTTGTTTCAATAAAATAAATATTCTTTTGTTAAATTGATTATGGCACAATTCTTTTATTAACTTTTGATTGTATTTAAATTAATTAGAAAAGTGTGATATTGGCTAAGCATTTTGAATTATTTTTTAATTTATTGAAAAATTTCAACAAATATTTGTAAATTTTTTATCAAATTCGATCAAAACATGTCTTTCTCGAAGGGTTTAAATCATACAATTTAATTTTAAAAATGAACAAGGAATAATTTTTTTTATTACTTTCACTTTATAAAAACAAGAAATTTCAGACTGCTTGGGAATATTTTGGAAATGAAGGAAAACGAGTATTTGCGTTTGCTATAAAACGTTTTTTTATCAGTGATATAAATACTAAATTTACATCTTCTGATATAGTACTGGAGAATTTGACATTTTTAGGAATGGCAGCATTAATTGATCCACCACGGTTAGTTTTACCGTGATTTTACCGTATTTTAACAAATTATTTGATGATTCAGCATGAATGATTCATCCTTTTTTGACGTAAAAAATTAAGATTTTGAAAATAATGCATTTATTCAGTGATGACGCAGCAAATGCAATAAAGCAATGTAAGGAAGCTGGCATCAAAGTTTATATGATTACAGGTATGATCTCTGTATTCTTCTCTCTTTCAAATATTTCATTACTAATTATTAAGTAAAGTTAATTATACCATTGAATTAAAGTTGGCACCTCAAATATAAGCATCCAATTAACATATGACCTAATATGACCTTGCTTTACGTATCACATAATAATACTTGGTTTTTATAACTTTCATTATTTTCAAATGTTGCTATTTTTTTTTGGTGAAAAAAAAAGAAAAAAGAAAACTTAATCTGTCTCGAAAGATATATACAATATTAATTTCATTAGTGGTTTTAATTATTTTTTTCTACTTCAGTACAAAAAATTGTTGCAATAAGTTATTTATCTAGTTAGAACCGATAATATTTCAGCTCCAATTGATTACTGTCAATTATTTATGAAGAATTGAGATTTCTTTCTCTTTTTACAATTTTCCAGGCATTTGCATGAATTATATAAAAGATAAAACTTGAAATTATTCAGGAATGATATATAATCTGACGAATTAAACTTATAATTCTTGTGATGAAAGCAGGAAAACAATTAATACTAATGAATATTATAGGTGATCATCCAACAACAGCAGTAGCAGTAGCACGAAAAATTGGACTTATTGGTACCGATGATGAAATGGTATGATTATAATTCGAAAATAATTAAATTGGCCTTTCCCCTTTTTTTCCCGACAGCACTAATAATAGTATTGAAAGCAATCAAACTGAACTGTTGAAATTTAAGCAATTACTTCAAGATGTAAAGAATGTTGAAAAGAAAGCAAAAGCGAAATTGAATTAATTTTTAAGTTTGAAATATTTTATCCTAAATGATATATTTGGCATTGTTCCTTCCAAAATGCGCACAATTTTGTTAAAACAAAAAAAAAGAAAATAGATAAAAATTATGTGATGAAGTTTGAAATCATTAGATTTCTATATATGTATTGAAAAGAGTTTCTCTTATTTTTCAACAAAAAAAGGAAACGAAAACGATATTTTGCACTCTTTGGATTATTTTAATTTCATAAATTTTCATTTATATTCTTAACAATCCTTTACCTGCATTTCAATTCTTTTTTTCATTTTTTGAGTTCTTCGCACAAGCATAATAGAGGAGGAAAAGTGACAAAAGCGGTAATGAAATGCGAGAATGTCAATTAATTAAGTAATTGGCAATTGTTTAATTATAGCTCGAATCAAGCGGTCGTGATCATTTAAAAATAAGTGTAATTGATGACAAGCAAAGAAACTGGAGAATTGCAATAGGTGATGATCTGGATCGTTTGGATGAATCTGGTTGGAATGAATTGCTCAAAAAGAAATATATCGTTTTTGCAAGGTAAGAAAAAGAAAAAAAATTAATAAAAAGAAAAAAAGGGATAAAAAGTGAGGGAAAATGAGGAAAAAAGTGTAAAATAAGAAAATTGAAATAATTTTTTGCCTTTTAACTCCATTTTTTGTTTTAATTTTTTTAAAAGGAGTTTTTTCGTTTTTTAGACTCGAAGCATTATTTAAATTATAAAAATTAGCAAAAATTTAGGATAAATCCACATCAAAAATTTCGAATTATTAAAGAATGTCAAAAACGTGGTGAAATAGTAGCTGTTACCGGTCAAGGTGTTAGTGATACACAAGCTCTTGCATGCGCTAATATTGGTATCGCTATGGGTATTGCAGGTTAACAATTTTTTTTAATGTAGAATTTGTATATTTTTAAATTTTAATACTTTTCAGTTTCCATTCATTTACTCGAAATTTTGAAAAGCTGGAGTTATTTCTATGGTATTCATTGTACAATTAATTTCTTAATTGTAATTTTAAGATTATGAATTAATGTATTATTGTCGATCGTCGTAATGATAAAATGAAAAAGTGATAAATAATGCAGTAGATTGTTGAGATTAAGTAATATGAAATGATAAGTATGATAAGTGATAATGATAAGCAAGTTGTAAATAATCGTGTGATATTTGATGAATGTTTGCTTATTGTTAGGAAAGGAAATTATTTTGGTTTAGGTAGTGATATGGCAAAGCAAGCAGCGGATATAATTCTGACAGATGATAATTTTGCTTCAATTGTCAAAGGAATTGAAGAAGGGCGTTTGTTATTTGACAATTTGCGCCTATCGATTGCTTATACATTAGCTCATCTTTGGCCGGAAATATTTCCAGTTGTCTTACAATTTACGCTTGGCTTACCATTAGGATTATCAGCCTTACAGGTTACTGTATTTTATTATTATTATTATTATTATTATTATTATTATTATTATTATTATTATTATTATTATTATTATTATTATTATTATTATTATTATTATTATTATTATTATTATTATTATTATTATTATTATTATTATTATTATTATTATTATTATTATTATTATTATTATTATTATTATTATTATTATTATTATTATTATTATTATTATTATTATTATTAT